GATCGATTTGTAAACAATATAATTTATTGTTTACAAAGTAATATTGTTCAGTAGTAGTAGTATTTAGTAAAATTCATTGTTTATAATTTAATCATAAAATAAAAAAAATTGACAATTCGAATTGTCAAACATCTGACATGAATATGATAAAACACACACGTTATAATATATTCTTGTATTACGTGTGGCCTAACTTTTAGGGGTGGTCTGAAAAATCTATTATATTTTTGCAAAATTTTGAAGTACATTTGATTCGTAGAACGGTTTTAACATTTGTTTTTAATTTAGAATTTAGTCCTCTACAAATAGTTTTTTATGACTTTTGATCTAAAATAATTAGGGAAGCAGCAATTCAACAATTTAAAATTTCTCATCGAGTTTCCTATGGCCCGTTCGACGATTCACCACCCGGTATATTGATGTCACCGCTAATATCTTAGTGTTAGCTTCAATTACAAAAGAAGGCACTGAGGATGATCTGAACTAGATCGAAAACGTCACGATATGCACCTGTATACATTTTGCCGACACTTTTTAAAAAAGTTTTAAATTAAATGTTTTATCTTCTTCTTCTTAAGGTGCCTTCTCCATTACTGAAGGTTGGCCATAACTACAGCAAATTGCTCTCTATCTTGAGCTGTTCTTAGTCTCGAATATGTGTCCATATCTGTCCAGTCTCTTACATTCTTCAACCAGGAGCATTTTCTTTTTCCTGGACCTTCTTCTTCTTCCACTTTCCCTTCCAGTTATTCATTCAAGTCGTAGAAAGTTGTATTTTTCTCCTCTGTAAATATGTCCTAGATAACTCGTTTCCCTGTTTTTTACAATATTTAGGAGTTCTCTTGCAGTATCCATTCTTCTTAGCACCTCGTTGTTGGTCACGTGCTCTGTCCAATAGATCTTCAGCATCCTTCGAAAAACCCATATCTCAAAGGCTTTTATACGTCTCATACTTGTAATTCCGAGAGTCCATGTTTCCACTCCGTATAGCAATATGGAATAAATAAACGTTTTTACAAATTGATATCGGATATCCAACGATAACGTAGAGTTTATTAGGAATTTTTTCATTCGTTGAAATGAGGACCTAGCATATTCTATACGAGCACGTATTTCGACCTCGTAGTCAAGATAGTTTGTTATCCAGCAACCAAGATACTGGAATGTTTGTACTGGTTCTATGTGTTTGTTAGAGATACGAATATTAATGTCGACATTTGGTGCACGTGTAACAGCCATTACTTTTGTTTTATTTGTGTTTATGTTTAGTCCCAAGCAATCGTATGTAAGTGTTTTATTTCTGTATAAATTTTTTAAACGATGGTATACAGCCAACTACTGGGATTTTCCCATTAATTTTTATGCCTATGTAGGTATTTATTGATATTAATTACCAACCTCCGGCGATAGGAACCTAAAGGATGAGAAGCAAAGATAAAGAATAATAAAGGAGCTTTCGTGAAATTAAAAAACAGCTTTAAGGAAGCTTTAATTACATATAATGCGGAAATTTTTGTAAATAAGAGATTAATTATTGTAGATAATCTACTCCGGTATTAATGTAAGGTTTCAATTTAGAAAATACTTTGTATAATCACTTAACCAGCATTGCGATATCTTATGTTGATGTCACAGTAGGACACATAAGCAGCAAGATCCAATGGACAGAGTATGACAATATTCCCTAAATGGTTACTAAATGTAGGCAATTACCATTACAGACTAAAATCATTCTGAACCTTTATATTTTGAACTGGTTTTGTCAGATATCAAGCATATGGAGATCTTTTTGTTTGGCATTCTGTCACTACATTACATACCTGTTTTTGTTTATATTTTCATTACCTTTTTTTCTCCTTTATGATATGCAAACTAATTATACCTGGCTAACATACTTTCAGTCAATTTATGTTCCAATATTCAGGTCTAAAGTTAGCAACATTTTCGTTATTGTTTTATTTCTTGGAAGATACTTTTTATTACATAATTGGTTTTAATTTTTTTCCTAGTTATTTCTCCTTATGTCTATTACCATTCATATATTCCACAAATGGGTGATTTTTCTTTGTGTATTTTAAAAATCATGATCTTAAAATAGAACTGGGTATAATCTTATAACTTTATTAAGGGCATATGATTTTTAAGACAATAAAAAAATCTAAAATATAACAAAACTATTTACTGTACAATAAATACATCAACTACACCAATAAATCACAATTATTTACTCCATATGTTCATGCTGAGCATGTACTTCAGATTCCCTCCAATTACTTTGAACAGTTTCAATTATCCACTTCCACCATGATGATTTTGTGAAGGAATAACCCCCACACAACAGTATAAACAACCAGGAAAGTATCAAAAACAAATCATAGTCTCTAGCAGGGACATTTACTACTGGTCCTGAGAAATCAGCAGAGGTCACAGCTACACTTTCTACTGCTGAAATACCTGTATGTTTCAAAATAAACTGGGAAAACTTTTCTAGAGTATATTCTGAATGGTTGAATTTCCCAACAGATCTGCCATTATGGAACAACAGCAATGATGGTACACCTACAATACCATTCTGAGTGTTAAAAAGATGATACATCATGGCATTTATAGCCACCATCTTTATGTCCGGAAATGCTCTAGGTAGGGCATTAAAGTGTGGTGCTGCCAGTGTAGAAAAGGGGCAATATTTTGAATAGAATAATACCGCAACACACATCGCAGGTGCATCCCTGCTGGTTACTTTGGGGTCAGGCTGCAACAGTTTTATAAGCTCTGTGTCATTCGTTAGCTGTACTTCTATGTCTCCCATAGCTGGCAAACATTGTACAAATCTTTGTGTTTTATTAACTACTTCTGTTGAATTTACCGTAGAATTTTGGACAGCAAATTCGTTAGTGAGCTCCTCTGTTTCTGCAATTAATTCTTCACCAACATCTGTACTGTTTTTTGAAGATTCTGATACTTCATTAACCTCTTTATTCTCTATAGTGGGTATATCAGTGATATCTTCGACATTGTTTAGTGAATCGTCAATAACTTGGGACTGCTCTGTAGTTTCTAAATTATCCACAATTTCTTCATTATGTATTTTACAAATCAAGACACCTGAAAATGTATGTGATATTATATTAAAAAAGCAAAACGGGTAATAGTCTTACCTACTAAAAGAAAAAGTGAAAGAAATATTTTTAAACCATTCATAATTATCTAAAAATATTTGAAGAATTCATAAGCTTTTTTTAATTTAAAATTTTAGCAAATTGTTATATTTTTCTTGTTTTGACATACTTGTCACATGCTTGTCACTCGTACAGGTGACATTTGATCATGGAATGAAAACATAAACATAAAATTTATGCAACCAGTTTTACAGACACCAGAAAAGGTATTTTAGTCTTATCGTTGATTGAATAACCCAGTTATTCAATCAACGGTATTATGTATAATTTCTTAAAAATGTTCCAGTGGTAAAGTTGTCACCAGAAAATAATCAAAGATAAAAAACAAGTCACCTACCAGAGGAACTTGTAGGCTATATTGAGCTGAAATCTCAAGATGCCCCTATAATCGATAACACAATTCAGAGTTTTTTAGTTTATCAGAATCTTTCAGCGGATAATTGTGTTGGATTTTAATTCGACGCGTGTTCTACGATATCTGGAAAAGAAGGTGATGTACAGGCCAATTTGAAAAAAATTATATTGTAGCCAATGCTGCTAGCAAACTATCGGAAAAGAAACTGATTCAATCAACAATTAAGGATACAGTATCCTTCGAAGGGTAAATACCTGGCTTCGAGGTACAACAGGAGAGGTGGGTTATATTTGATGGGCATCAATAGGAAATTCGTCAATGAAAATCAAGATTGGATTTAAACGAAAGTTTTGAACAATTTTTTTTTTGAATCCAAGAAAAATGAAAGTACTAAAGACATGTAAATAGAGTAAAAACATGTTTAAGCAAATAATTATAATAAATCGGTTAATAAAGCACTGTTATTTTTCACAAATTTTTGGTTTTATTCACCTTTTTCATGCTTAAATATTCTGTTGATCGTAATAAACGAACTATAACAATATATAACAATGTATAACAATATATAACAATTGTAACAATGATGTATAATAAACACTAATCTAGAGAGAGAATCATAGAGTAGGAACATCCTATTTTCTATATTCATTGCCCATAACATCAAAAGGCTTATTTCAAACTCCAAAGGGAATCAAAAGATTCTAAACGGGAACATTATTATTAATTTATGTTCATGCCCCATAAACCTTTTTTATTATTTTATGCCCCTATTAAAAACCCCTTTCTCGAAGTTGAAGTCATTTTTTAAAATCCAACGCCATCTCTCAAATATATTTTGAACTCTTCAAACAATTTTCAAATAGGAAAGGGCATTACTTTTATGTTTGGACTTTGTTATATGGAAAAACTTTCGTTTTCTCTTTTATTAATCATCAAATTATACGCCTTATGCATATTTACTTTTAATCTAAAGTAAACTAGTGATTAGAAAATAGTTCAATCTATTGTTTTGGACATTTTATTGTTTCTGGAATTATAATAGACGGAAAGTTATCGACACCGATTCGAGTATTGCGTTATTGCGTACTCACATTGTGGTACCACATTTCCGTTTTTTTAACTAATATTAATTACCTTTCATTATTTTTAACCATTTTCTTAAAATTCAGTTTGGCGCTTTGATCACAAAACATGACAACTAATGGGTATGTATTTATATGCATTTCTCTATTTTAATTCATTTTTAATCACGTTTTAAAAAGGTCATAAGGTCTCGCAGCAATTAATTCTTATCTCGTATGTTATGGGTAATTAATAGTATACCAAATGATACCGAAACACTATCAGGAAACTCATTATCTCATTATTAAACTTATCTTTTTTTAAAAGTTTTATATTTTGTGGAATGTTACATATTTTATGCTAAACAGGATTAACTTAACACACAGGTGTTTTACATAACCTTAAAATATAAATACCTTAAATACCAGTGTAATGATCGGAAACAATACTTAATAACGAGACTTCAAAATGCTTTCAGTAGATTTAAAATGAATCTATTTGGCAAAACGTTGTCAATAGTTTTAAAAAACGTTTCGGTTATTCAAAAAACAGCTCCGAAAAATGCATCTTTTTACTTTACATTAAGGTACGTTGTAGTCTTTTATGCTTATGCTTTTCGCGCTTGACCTAGGAGGTTCGAATTTTGGTCTATTGGGAAAAAATACAACAATGTGCTAAATGAAATTCAAAAGGGTGAATTAAAAAGTCACAAATTATAACCTCAAAAATTTAGGCAGCCTTTATTAATGGTTTGTTTCCTTTGTAGTGCATACTGATGTGTGTGTTTTCTCTTCATATTTGTGTAATACTAGCAAAGAATACAGATGCTTTAGAAGCGTCTATATTCTTTGATACTAGCTTAGGCTTTATTTATATAATGTGGAAACAATAACAAAGTTTAAAATTCCAAACAGCTTCAATTGGATTAAAATATGTATTTAGATAAAATGAGACGTTTCAGGTGCACTTAAGGTACCTTATAAAGTGTTTAGAACATTAAAAGCAAACGATAATAAATAGAGTAAATAAAAAAGTTGAATCAACATAAAAATAATAAGAAAACGGAATTATACAAACTGCAAACATATCACAGAAAAGTGGACAATCATCTTTCTATTCTAATATGACCAAAAGAGTTCTGGTAAAAAATTAATTTGATCATATCCAACATGGGTATACTTGTTATTCTTAATACAATAAAATGAGAGTAAGATATTTTATTCATTCCACGTCTGTCGATATTTCATTTGTTTCTTATTTAGAGCCAACAGTTTAAAAAACAAAGGTTTATTTACTTCACTGTGAATATTCTATAGATTTCTTGTTTTAATAATATCCCTTACAATGTTCGCACTGTCAATATTTAGATATATTATAAAATACATATTTTGCTTCTTAGTTAGTTTTTTTTGTGTCAATTTATTCCAAATCTAACTAAACTGACTACATACCTAGAATATAATAAATCTCAACACCAGAGATATCTGAGAATGGTATAAAACCTCACAGTTTGCTAAAATTATAAACCAAAAAAAAAACAGTAAAATAATTAACATTGTATTTCTTCAACCAAATTATGTCTGATTCTGTAAATCAAAGATGGGTTTCTAAGTTAGGAAAGTGTGTACTTATCCATTTAGTGAATACTGTACTATTCATTTCACTGTGATAATCTGCATTCAAGGATTTGGAACAAAATAACAAACAGGCATCTGAAATAAAATATTTTACTGAACAGGTGTAAACCACAATAAACCTTTTTCCTTCATAACCATCTAATTTACATACACTTCTAAATCTGTGTTTTTACTTAATAACAGGTGGTAGGTGGTTTGTCTTTAGTTTCATGTGTGGAAAACAATGATGCTAGACAAAAAGTATATGCTTTATCTCACCAACTATGAATGACACACAGGTAAAGGATTTAACTATATGTTTAACTATATGTTTATATGTATATATAAACCAGGCAAAAATGAATGATGGCATGTTTGCTTAGATATTAGACAGATGATCTAAAAAGAGTGAAAACAAACTAGATCTAAGCAGCTCAGAATTACAGAAATGGCTACTTTTGTTAGATTTAACAGTGGATGCAACATGCTGGATAATGCCCAATATTTTAGGAAGATTTACACATGGTATACCTTCTTTGCATTCAGCTATTGTTTTATAAAAATAAACTGCAACATTTTTCCTTTTAAATAAATTTACAAATCCATGTTTTAGCAACAGTCCAACTAAATTGTACAGTTTTTGGAATATCTAGTTTCACAACTTTTTTAATATTTGACAAAATATGATACATATTAAATTTTGATAATCCTTCAAGATTTGTTTCCAATGGCAACTAAATGTGAAGTTATTTAGGATTTGTTATTTATAAGACAATGAATAGTTTCCAAAAGCTTTTCTTACATATGTAATCATCACCACTTGCACCTGAATTCTTATTTTTTTAAATGATGCAGCTGATACAATGTATGTAGCTAAATTTATGAAAAACACAGACAGAAAAACACTCAAAACTTAGGATAGCCTATCAGAGAAATAATATATTGCTGACACATACATAAGACAGAAAGTATTATTAAGGATATAAAAAATAGTTGTATTAATGCATAAAATAATTTATTTTTACAATTTTATTACTAAAGCATCTTCATAATAACCTTCTGTTCTAGTAAATCTTACAGACAGATGAATGCTTCTGAACTGAATGACGCCAAAGTAGAAATCTTTGTATTTTTTCAAAATGTCTTCTGCATCAAAGCTTTCCTGTTTTTCCTCAGGTTTTCTGTATCTAGAATTCATAATTGTAACATGTAACTTCACTCTATCGTATTGTCTCTTGGCCAATCCAGACATCGCAAAGTAATCTGCTATATTATTGGCAATATATTGTAGATTTTGGGATTGGGCTTGATCATCCATTTCAACGTTTCCATATAACACATTTACAGAAGTAGGATCATCATTCATGATTTCAATACCTTTCATGTGTATGCTGTATGTCCTATTTCTTGGGAATGCTTTGGTTATGATTTCTTCATAACAATTCGTCAACACTTTCTTGGCTGTTGTTATTTCTTCATCGTCTAATAAAGTTAGAGTGCTTATAGTGAGATGCAGTTTGTCTGAACTTAAGAAAATCGAATCTGAAATTCCCCTAGCAGGATCTTTGAGTATATTTTCTTTGAATTCAAGTATTTTTGCTTTAACGGAATCAGACACCATAGGAATCGATACAAAATGGCTTATCGGCAGCTTCTCTTTCCTCTGAATTACAATCAAGGAGATCTGAGTTCTAGCCGAGGCTACTTTTCGCTCTGTCTCTCCCGTAATTTTGACATTTCCTTTTTCGTTAGGTTTCGGCACTTTGATCTGCGTGTTTGTGCTTCGCTCCAGGCTTTTCAATCTAGATGCTTTTGCTCCAATAATGTATGGTAACAAACTAGAAGGAACATAGAAAGAAGTAAAGAATTTTCCTGATTTGTTCAAGGTTATCTCGTAATCATTTTCCATATCTTGGCAATCTACTAAACCAGTGTCATTGTCTTCATATGGACGGAGGGGAGCTGACGCAAAACCCTCGTTCTGTTTGCATGCTAGGGACGACATCCAGTATGTGGAATTGCCGAAATTGATCGGTGTGACGTTAAGTTGCAGGGGGCCCTTTTCTGTGAAAAAGTCCGGAAAATCTCGCTTTGTCGTTTCTTGGTACATCTGAAAATAAAAAGCCTATATTAATATAATACAGACGTTTTAATAATACAGATTTATTAATTTAAGAATGTTTAACCACAAAAATTGGGAGAAATAAATACATATTTAAGCCTTATTAATACAAATGAAAGAATCTTAATAGTGAGAGTTAAGAAACAATTTAGAAAAAATTCAGAATAATTGTAATTAAAAGAAGGAACAAAAATAAATACGCTTTATTCGCTAAAATGAACACTACAGGATTGAAAGACTTTGGTCTATAGTCTTTTGGGACATAGATACTGTCCATAAACTAGGTACATTTCTCTCTCTCCCTCTCTCTCGAAACTATACCTAACATGTTTAATGTTTAAATTATGTGTAAACATAAATACTTAGTTTTACACTTAAGTTTTTTAAACTTCTCACAAAAGCTATTTTCTGTTTCTCCTTTTGATTTTTTGTTCATTTTCCTCCTTAAAAGTATAGACCACTTTGATTTGTTACTCCATGACTAGATGGCATCATCTCCAAATGGTTGTAGATTTTAGATAAAGGGGCCATTGCCACTCTTTGATTTGAATGATCTTTTGTGTATACTTTACATACATACGCATTGGGAATTTATTTTACAGAGCATAGGCTTTTTAATACAATAACTCAGATTCCCTGATTTGCAATTAACCAGTGTAAATTTCAATATAAAGTCGCGATGTTTTATAATTAGCATGTTTATTTCACTGGATTGCTGCCATGGATACGTCCATGATTGCTGCTCTTTCGCGATTTGTAGCAGCGTATTTGGCACACATACACCGACAGTTTTGTTCCGTCTACCGATATTTTCCTGAAACTCCTGGAATATTCGTAATTCTGTATTTTTGTGCAGATAATAATGTTTAATTAACAACAATTGTTTGTGTTAATTAGGTATTATTCGAATTGGTTAATTTATTATTTAATACATTTATTATTCCAAATATTGTTTCAAATATAAAGGGTGTATATTATGATATATCGAAATCTACTGATTTTTGCCGAAGGTATCTACCGATTTTGCAACAGTCCCAAGGAACATCACTGGCCGAGCAAATCAAATACCTTTGCTTCTCATTATAATACCATAAGCTGAAATTAAAGTAGTGTTTCTAACCATATATACAAACGAAGAAACAGTACAAATTTTATAATGATATTTTGAGGGCAACTCGTACCGTAACATTATAAATTGATTTACTTGTGCCTGAAGAAGATAGGCCAATACCGACATAATCAACTATTAGTCGTATTATTAAAAAAATTGAATCGTTTGGTTGTGTTCGAAACTGTAAAAAATATATGGATCTATCACGAAAGAAAATAATCAACGATGTTCGAAGTTTGTAGTGTTGCTGAAACTAGTGATCCTTATTCAAGCAAAACTATTGCTGAAGAAGTTGACATGAATGATAGGACTGTCAGAAATATTTTGAAACGACACGGTTACCGTTGTTTTAAAGTTTTAACTATTCAAGAGTTATTAGCCGAGGACAATATCAAATGCATGTAATTTTGTGAACTCAGGATGAATAAACAAAATGAAAATGAACATTTTTTAAAAAACATTTTGTTTACCGATGAAACGACATTTTCGTAACATCAGAAACATAATCCTTCTGTCGTACGATATTGGTCTCGGCATAATAAACACTTGAGTATTCCAGTACGAACAAAATATCCCCAAAAACTTAATGTTTGGACAGGTATTTTGGGGGACTATATCATCGGTCCATTTTTTATTGATGGAAATTTAACGGCAATCAATATTTAGAATTGTTGCAAAATCAAATTATTCCGACAGTTCAATTACTTCCTGTCAACTTTGACGATATTTGGTTTCAGCAAAACGGTTGTCCTGCTCACAATACACGAGCAGTTCAAAATTATTTAGAAACCACTTTTGGAAATAAATTAATTTCTTCTCGTGGTACGATCAAGTGGCCTCCAAATCACCAGACTTATCCCCAAATGATTTTTTTCTTTGGGGATATTTGAAAGCAAGTGTTTATCGACATGGTTTTAAAGAGCCCGAAATTTAGCCGAATTGAGGAACAAAATAATTCATCTTTGTTGAAGCATTAGACCGGAACTGCTCAGGGATATGAGAGTATCTTTGTACCAGCAGATTTGGTTTTTGCTCTGCAAAAAGAGGTGGAGTATTTAAACCTCGATTATGTTAAATTTTTGTTTTAATAGTAATATGTTATTTTTGGAATTCATTTTTCAAATCAGGGAATCTGAGTTATTGTATTAAAAAAGCCTATGGTCGGTAAAATAAATTTCAAATCTATATATACTTCTGTTTGTGGCTTTGGTGTCTGTTGTCGAGGCTTTTTTATGTCGAGACTTCACTTCAACAGAAAGTTTGAACATTTCCTTGCCGCGCCGCATATGCTCTTTAGCTGGAGCTTTTGTGGTCCTTGCTGAACTTCATCTCTCGTTGCTAGTGATTGCAACTTGCAACAGTCACTTCCCACCATGCCGGGATAAGACTCGAGTATCGTCTATACCAAGGATTAAGGACCCCTACACCACCACAAGATTTCACGGCTCTCGGAGGAGAACTCCAAATGGTGACCTAATGCCCAGAACCCGTTTTGCTTGTCAATTCATGTAACCATTGAAATAAGTGTGACTTTCTTCCAAAATTATCAGAGATTCATCTTGAATATTTGAAGGACCTTGTCTTATATGATTCCCTATATCCGTCTCTATACAGAAAAAAACCCCACTAACTTCCGAAATATAACTTTTTTTTTCGTACGTTAGCTAATAGAAACGATGACAAAACAGTAAAAATACGAAAATTGGAGTAAATTGCCAATGTCATGCGACACCCAGAACGATATGGATTCAGGACAAAATATGTGGAAAGAGGGGTCTCGCTCGGAGAACATGATGGCTTCGTAATCTACGTGAGTGGGTCGTCCTTGTCTTCACTCTTTAAAAATGCGCTGAAATAACTATGATAGCCAACGTTCAGTGATGGAGGTGGTACGTAGAGAAGAAGAGTTTCTTGAACGGCTTCCTATATGATTTTTTTTGTAGACTTCATATTATTCACTAAATTTCTCGCAAATTTGGTTCTTTTCAATTTTTCGCTTATTTTTTATCATATTCTAGATTCTTGTTAATATCTCTTATCATATATTTTATATGCTTTGTTTATTGTTTTTCTTTCGGCATAAATAATTTTTCGTGGTTGCTATGTAACTAAGCAATGGAAATTTCCAATATCACTTAATAAAAATTGTTCTATTTAAATAAGGTACCATCGCAACAACAAAGCTGTGTTTATCAATGCACCAAATGCAATATATTATTTATAAGACAATTCCGCAAATTGGTTTCGTAATTGACGGCTAATTGAAGAAATTAAGAAAACATATTATGTTCCTAAATAACTGATGCAATTTGTTACATCGTTTAAGCAAACACGATGTAAAAACATTGGAATTTTTCTTATCTATCGGTCCTGTAACTTTTGGTAGTTTCAAGACAATGCGCATGCTCGACATTGACAATATTAGTTTTATCAAATGACGTTAAAGTTTGCATCATATTTTTAATTTGATTTAAATTGTTTTCTAAATTTAAAGGACAAATGACACAATGATAGAAAGGTTATTGACGTTGGTGAAGTTGGGAGTTCAACTCCAGTGCATAGACGTGATACAGTTTTATACAGTGTGTCCTTAAAGTATGGAATAAAGTCGATATTTCCTAAATGAAAAGCCTTTTTAAAAAAATTTAAAACACGCCGATTTTTAAGTTAAATGTTCTACATTTTACAATAAAATTTCATTATACAAAATGGTACACATTATGGTGATGACGTCATCGCCTCTTTTGTTTAAATGTAACACCCTGTGTTTTAGGACGTTTTTAGATATATAAAAATTAATGATTCCAAAAAGTGTAATACTGGTTGTCTAACGGATATAATTTGAAAGATATGCCCTTGGAAAATTAATTTTTATTGATTTCTAATATTAATAAATTATAATAAATAACTTGAAAGTAATCCAGTAATTAATACATGAATTTATCTTAAATGTGCGAACCTTGTTTATGGTTTCTTGAAAAATATTTTTTATTTCTTTACGAATTCTTGTTTTTAAGTCTTCAATATTTGGAGGTTTCGTTTTATAAACAACACACTTCAAATTACCCCACATAAAATAATCCAAAGGATTGAGGTCTGGCGACCTCGCTGGCCATTCAATATGTCCACGTCTTCCAATCCACCTGTTCGCAAAAATTTCGTTTAGGTACCTTCGTACATCTACAGCATAATGCGGAGGCCTCACCATCCTGTTGAAACCATAAACTTTCATCAAAACCTCCAGGATTAATTCTACTAGGGAATAAAAAATTCGAAAAAGTAGGGTCCGATGATTCAATTTCTTACAATGCCAGCCCATACGTTTACCTTTTGCGGGTATTGTGTATGATGTTCGCGCATCCAGCTGAATGATCTGCTATACAGACGACGCAATACTACTCTCTCAAAGTGAAGATGATTTACAACGTATGCTGCACCAATTTAATATAACCGCCAGAAAATTTAACATGTTAGTTTTCCCAAAAAAGACAAAATGCATGGTTACAATAGCAAATTTACTAAAATGTAAATTGGCGCTGGAAGGTCAGATAATAGAACGAGTGATGGAAGTTAAATACCTAGGCATCACATTATCTACTACGGAAAGCTCGATACTGAAGTGGAAGATCAAGTGAATAGAGCAAACAGAGCCGCAGACTGACTGAATGAAACAATATGGAGAAATAAAAATATCGGGAAAGAAACGAAAGGCAGAATTTACAAAACAGTCATCAGACCAATAATGACATACGCGGCAGAAACAAGACCTGACACAGAGAGGACAAAACGGACTTGGGGCGGAAAAATTGATGGTAAGACACTATGGGACAGAGTTAGAAGTACAGATATACGACGATATAGAAAGACGATCAGTAGG